TGACTTTTTATCTCACAATTTTATCTCAAAATTCTGACTTTTTTTCACAATTCTGACTTTTTATCTCACAATTCTGACTTTTTTCTCTCACAATTCTGACTTTTTATCTCACAATTCTGACTTTTTTCTCTCACAATTCTGACTTTTTTCTCTCACAATTCTGACTTTTTATCTCACAATTCTGACTTTATATCTCGCAATTCTGACTTTATATCTCACAATTCTGACTTTATATCTCGCAATTCTGACTTTTTATCTCACAATTCTGACTTTTTATCTCACAATTTTATCTCACAATTCTGACTTTTTTTCACAATTCTGACTTTATATCTCACAATTCTGACTTTTTTCTCTCACAATTCTGACTTTATATCTCGCAATTCTGACTTTTTATCTCACAATTCTGACTTTTTTTCACAATTCTGACTTTTTTTCACAATTCTGACTTAATATCTCACAATTCTGACTTTATATCACACAATTCTGACTTTATATCTCGCAATTCTGACTTTTTATCTCACAATTCTGACTTTTTTCCTCACAATTCTGACTTTTTATCTCACAATTCTGACTTTTTATCTCACAATTCTGACTTTATATCTCGCAATTCTGACTTTTTATCTCACAATTCTGACTTTTTTTCACAATTCTGACTTTATATCTCGCAATTCTGACTTTATATCACACAATTCTGACTTTATATCTCGCAATTCTGACTTTTTATCTCACAATTCTGACTTTTTTCCTCACAATTCTGACTTTTTATCTCACAATTCTGACTTTATATCTCGCAATTCTGACTTTATATCTCGCAATTCTGACTTTTTATCTCACAATTCTTTTTTTTCCACAATTCTGACTTTTTATCTCACAATTCTGACTTTTTATCTCACAATTCTGACTTTTTATCTCACAATTCTGACTTTTTATCTCACAATTCTGACTTTTTTTCACAATTCTGACTTTTTATTCACAATTCTGAATTTTTATCTCACAATTCTGACTTTTTTTCACAATTCTGACTTTTTTTCCCAATTCTGACTTTTTATTCACAATTCTGAATTTTTATCTCACAATTCTGACTTTTTATCTCACAATTTTATCTCAAAATTCTGACTTTTTTTCACAATTCTGACTTTTTATCTCACAATTCTGACTTTTTTCTCTCACAATTCTGACTTTTTATCTCACAATTCTGACTTTATATCTCACAATTCTGACTTTATATCTCGCAATTCTGACTTTATATCTCACAATTCTGACTTTATATCTCGCAATTCTGACTTTATATCTCACAATTCTGACTTTCTATCTCACAATTCTGACTTTTTATCTCACAATTCTGACTTTTTATCTCACAATTTTATCTCACAATTCTGACTTTTTTTCACAATTCTGACTTTTTATCTCACAATTCTGACTTTTTTCTCTCACAATTCTGACTTTTTATCTCACAATTCTGACTTTTTTCCTCACAATTCTGACTTTTTATCTCACAATTTTATCTCACAATTCTGACTTTTTTTCACAATTCTGACTTTTTTTCACAATTCTGACTTTTTTTCTCAATTGTGAGTTTACATCTCGCAATTCTGATATAATCTGATATAATAATTCTGATTATCTCAGAATTGCGTGATATAAAGTCGCAATTGCGTGTTATAAAGTCAGAATTGTGAGATAAAAACTTGCAATTCTGAGAAAAAAAGCCAGTCTTTTTTTTTTCACTTCAAATTGTACTTATCATCTCCCAAGAAAAAAGTCAGAATTGCGAGTTTATTTCTCGCAATTGTGAGTTTATATATCACGTGATTCTGACTTTATATCTCGCAATACTGAGAAATAAAGTCAAAATTGCGAGATGTAAACTCACAATTGTGAGATAAAAATGTGCAATTATCTTTTCAAATGTTTTATTCTGTGGCGGAAACAAGCGTCCACACACAACAACACCAGGAACACACATTAAGAATGTAAATAGGCTCTATTTTGATGTCGCTCATGCAAGAGACATTAAAAGCAACTGTGAAGTCAGTCAAAAGCAGCAGAGGATAGAAAGGTCAGCAAGAGAAGGAGAAGAAAGAGTCCTCAGCTGTCTCTGTAGACGAGCAGCACAGCTTCAAACACACAGCCTCCGTCTTCACTTGGGCTTTTTATTTCATCGTCCCTCATGCCTTCAATAATGCCCTTTCATCTGCTCCCTCCATCAGCACAGACAGGCTGTTTCTCTAAAGAATCATGAGCTGAGATGATCGTACACACACCACCGGTGGCAAACGATGGAATATGATGCTTTTGAGAAACGCAGACACCGTGAAAACCTGAACGAATCTGAATCAATCGACTGAACTGACTCATAAAAGCAGTCCGAGAGACCAAGTGCTATGAGAGATTATTGAGCTATGGTTAACCACTGTTGCAAAAAAAGCCTGTTTATTTCTAAAGGCACTCTTGCACACTGAGTCCGAAATTCACGCCCGAAACTTTCGTCCGGCATAAAAAAATTCGCATCGGGCTCGATTTTCTGTGTTTTTCGCATCCGTAGCAAGCAGTTTGAGAGGTGTTTATATGGTGTTTTGAAAAACCAGAGCCACCCAATCACAAATACCAAAAAACGCATAAGAAAATTTCGGACTCAGTGTGCAAGGACCTCAAGGGTCAGAAAAGAGTCATTAAAAATAATAGCAAAAATTATAAATGGACTTCAATTAAAATAAATAAAAAATCCATTTAAATCTAAATAAGAACATCCATATCCAAACAACAAGACACACTATTTAATTTTTTTTATTATAACATCATTAACATTATTAAATAATATAAATATTTAATTACAACAATATTAATATTATTGATTAATATTATTTTTTTTACAAATGTAAACAATAGCAATATTTTTTTAGGAATATATATATTATTAATCAATATAAATACTGTTTACACATATTTTAAAATAATTTTAGCGCCACATTATTACTGTGATGCATGCAGCGTGTGTATGTTAATATTCTCAGGTTTTTAATCACCCCGCCTGGAAATGAAGTCGTGTTTACAGTCACTGGAGAAGGTTATGTCCTGTATGTTCAGCCGTTTACAGTTATGCTTGTGAAAGAATTTGTATTATAGATTATGGTTTACAGATATGAAAAGCTTTTCACAATATTCTAATTTTGAATTACACAGCTGTAAGCCATAATCATCAAAATTATAACAAATAAAGGCTTGAAATATCTCACTTTGCATGTAATGAGTCTATATAATATAATAGTTTCACCTTTTAAGTTGAATTACTGAAATAAATTAACTTTTGCACTATATTCTAATTATAGTTTAACCATGGTATTTGTTGTAAAACTGTGGTTATAAAAATCGTACTCAATCTGGCAAAAAACTATGGTTTCTACACTTTTACTATAATAAACTAAAATTGATTTTTTTCGTAATGGTTACATTTAATTGGAATTACCTTTAGAGACTCTTAACATTTACTGTACACACACACACACACACACACACAAGAAACTGATCTCAGATTTATTTACCGTCACAAAGCTGCAGCCCAAAAGAAAAGAAAAAACGATTTTTTTCAATACAGTCTTAAATTTCTCAAGCAATATTTTTAACTATAGTTCCCTATTTTCACTCACAGACAGCGGATCAGAAACATAATTCCAGAAAACATATGAAAGCTTAAGCATCTCGACAGTGTTCACTGGATCCGGATCATGTGCTAGCTAAGCTTGTTTTTAGGTTTGCAGAGCTAAAACTGAGAAATCCTACACAATCTATTCAGTTAACCGGCTCAAAGCAGCCTCATGCATGCTGACATAAATCTACATAACTGCGGATATGCAGAAGAAAACGCCAGCCTGGGAATTACTGACAACCAGCGGTGGATAACCAACTCCCTGCCTGCATTACGCGTCTCTTCCTGAGGCAGTGACCCCTGAGTAAAGACGGGGTACAGCTCTTCAGGCGACGGTGTGTGTGGAGCTGTCAATCAATGCCTTCAACACACACACACACACACATCAGCTCTACAGCTTTACTATTCCAGAAATACCACATCCATATTACACATCATTCATTTAGCATCAGAAATAAGAACAATGATGCATAAATACAAGAAGCTCTACAAGAAAATTTTGCATTTAGAATAACACACATAGCTTAGAATAACTTATGTTGCAACATAAATACAGCAAAGTATGGCAAGACGATGCAAAATTAATAAACAAGTACTAGAACCTATACTTGAATTGGTACATAATAGTGATAGTGTATATCATATTTGGACAGTTCTTGATAGATTTTATGAGATTTTGGCTAACACTTTATTTTAACGTGACGTAGTTACACGTGACTACATGTACGTACTATAGTAATAACAGTAAATTATGCATAATTACAAGTTACTAACCCTAAACGTAAATCTATAAGTGTATGTAGTTATTTAATATCACTCAGTACTCATTTTAGTAGTTACAATGTAACTACGTCACATAAAAATAAAGTGTAACCCGCTTTTGTTGTAATTAAACATTTAAATGAAACCGAATAATGTCTTACTGAAGGTTGCTTCTCTACGGCTCGGGTCAGATTTCCAATGATCACCGCAATACGCATTTATTCGACCATCATTTGATCAAAATATCGAGATCATGTCATTTATATCAATACTTTTTTAGGAAAAACGTAAACTACTATACGTCATCGTTCATTTCAAACACGTCTTATTATTATGACCGAAACAGCGATTTGTCACACGGTCGTTAAAGAGGGAAATATTATTAAATGTCGTGTGTTTGATTTACACAGACACATAAACAGAGTACATAAAGGACAAAAGAATCGGCGTTGCTAGTAATCGCGTTTAATCACATTAAGCGCTTATAGCGTCGTGTGTGTGTGTGTGTGTGTGTGTGTGTGTGTTTGATGCTCACGCGCACTCTCGTGTTGTTCCTGCGCTATTATTGCGAGTATCTGGTGAATAATCTTAC